TAGTCATCACTAAACTTTTGATCCTTACTAAACTTCCGTTTCAAACTGTCCAGGCGTTTTAGAGCTTGCACACTATTGTTGGGCATCTGCACATTGGAGCACTTAAAAGGCAGACTAATATGATAATGACCTTCTTGTAAGGAGACAGACTCATTAACCTTGTCAAGAAACTTCTTGTCCTCTTGGGACATTTCTGTTTTGTCATCGATGGAGCTTTCAAGGAAGTCAAAGTTTATGCTCTTCCTAACCAAACTATTCAATTCACTGATTTTCTAAACATTTCTGACACTTACAATGTCTGTTCTCATAGATGGAAAATGTTGTTTTCCTTCTTCTCCTGAAGGTCTGACAACGTTCCATAGGATCCATCCTAATCGAGTTCTGGTTGCATGAGGGCTTCCCCGTGGACCAACTTTGACTTCAAATGGAGAGTAAGCATCAGGGGCATTAGCACCTATCAGAAGATCGACACCAGATTCAAGTGAAGGTAAATGAATTCCACCAAGGTGAGACCACTGTGCGACATCAGAATCATTTGGAATGTGCCTGTTTGTTACTGGGATATGGCTCCTAGAATACACTGTAGGAAGGTCAACAGTTTTTATATCCATATCATGAACCTTCAGACCAGAGATGGCATGCACAAAGGAAGTATGAGGCTCCCCTAGTGTATCTATAGTTATTTCAACCTTCTTTGACTTTCCACTGCATCCAAGCTTATTCATCAGGGATTCTGAACAGAAAGAGATGGTACTTCCGCGGTCCAAGAATGCATATGTCGATATCACTTTCAATGTATCTTTGAATGTTACTTTCACAGGGATTACAGCAAGTGTACATTCACTGCTGCTGTCACCGGTCTCCATATCTTCACTAGCTTGACCTGTACATGCACTTAAACATTTCAGGTTTGTCTCGGAGTCAATATGCAACATTGTCGAGTGATTACCTTTGCAGCACTGACATATGACAATTTTATGACATTCCTTGCTACGATGACCCTGCTCAAAGCAACGAAAACATAGACCCGTGGATTTGAGAAAGTTCAAACTTGCACCAAGTTTGTTAGCGCGTGAACGGTTCCTCACTGTCTGGACTGAGGAATCCTGGCATTGCGAATGATGTAGAGGTGGCCGTGGTGGTTCTTTGACGTACGAATCTTGTGCTCCAGTAGTGACATGTGGTCGACCAGATCTGGGAAGCCACGTGTTGTCCCGTGTGTCTGATAACGGTTCCACATTCTTGTAATGGTGCTTGGTGCTACGTGGAAAAACCTGGCTACAGCTGAAGATGATTCCCCTGTTTACAGCCAGCCGATGGCTGTGTTGCTTTGGGCTTCCGTCAGTCGTGGCATTTCTTTCGCTGTTCACTAGCTCTAAGATTTTGATGGTATGCGACACGTGGTGATGCACCTGCATGTCATGTTTGTGTGTTACGGCGCCAGACACTCACGTGGTTGTGTTTTTTAGATTTTTCCATCTTTTCACCTCATTCTTTCCACACACATCAATCGCAAATCCATGACTCTTAATGGATCACATATTGCTGCTAAACTCACATGTATTTGTTTTTTTAACATAATACTTTATGAGTGTTTACTTTCGAAAATGGATGATAAACTGTTTAAATGTTCTACACAATCGCTGGTTTCAATGGTAGAAGAAATATTCAAAGATTATTATCCGCAAAACTGGCGCAGCTTTATTAATTAAAGTTCAAAGGGAATGTGCTCAAAAGATTTTGGAAAAGTATCTCTTTTCACCCAAAACTTCTGCTGTAGCGAATTATGTTCATTCCCTTAGCAATTTATGAATGGCCTAAAATGTAAAAAAATTCAAAAAAATGTTCTCATCCCATTAGAAAGCGAATTCTTTTGATAATCTTTCTAATTACAAGTTACACATGTTGCCGCTGAAACATAACTGTCAGTCCAGTCATCTTCAATCTCATTGAAATCAGATCTTAGTTCTCGCTGCCGCTAAACAAAGATCTGAGGACATCCCATTACGCGTCACGTCTCTCTCTCTCCCTCCGCAAAGTGCATCGATTTCGGGAGCAGAAGCTGGTATTCATTTCGATTGAAGGTAACGCTCTATGCTGCCCTAGATCCCACTAAAAGTAGAAAGTTCGTATTCCGAACCATCTAATTTGCGTGTCGAAATAAAAAAATTGCAAAGAATAATGTTTAGTTCACTGGGGCCAATTTCTTCTCATTTTAGCTTTCCTGTATAAATTTCTGAATACATGTCAAGTTTGGTCCCATTCATTCTTTATTTTTGTTTTCTTTGGGGTTTTTACCCGCGAAGGTCCGGTGTAGAAGAGGTCTTCAGAAACCCATGCTTGCCATAAAAGGCGAATATGCTTGTCGTAAGAGGCGACCAACGGGATCGTGGTTGAAGCATGTCATCGATCCCAATTGCGTGGAATATAAATGTTTAACTTGTTCAAGTCACGCTATGGCTGAAATAGTGCCGATGTGACTTTAAATATGAACTCACTCACACTCACGCAGCTAATTTCGTGGGTCGATACTCATGATATCAATCACTGCATTGTCTGGTGCGGCGTAAAACAACAAGGAAACAAATAAGCAAACATTGATTTTTCATTTTGCACTGGCAGTGTTGATCGTGTTTGCGCACTAGGAACAGTGTCTGGCTACACTCGCAATATGAATATTGGAACTTCAATCTGGCTGTTTTAAAGACATCACATGTTTAGAAGATAAGTTATACGAATAAAGCTCCCTGTCAGATCTCCGTTAACTTAAACGTCATTTACTTTGACAGGTGTCAAATGGTCAACCATGTGTGTTAACAAACAACGCAGACGTTGTTTAGGTTTTTGTTTATTGTAAACTGAAAATCATGTGAAAGAAAATGCTTTGTTGATTATAATGTGAAGTCATATCGTTGATATGAAACTATATTTCTTGTCTTAAACTCTCTAATCAGTGCATCATATTTATTAGAGGCTATTTTTATGGCGACGACTTTTAACACAAATATCACAAGGGGCGTTCCGTGTAATCCTCATTTCAGGATGTCAAGTGTGTTATTTCTGTTATTATCGTGGAGTATGTATGATCAACGTGCTCTACAGGAACACCAGTTGTAACTTGTTTACAACTAATGTATCCAAATGGTATCATTAATGAAGGAGAAAGTTCTGTTAAGAACTCCCCTAGTACGTCAGTCACATTGACATCGCGTTGTAATACATTTACATCAAGTACAAGACGTAAAAAAAAACCGGCCCGATAAACATGGCGGGAAAGATTTTCGAAGTTGTTCGTGAACCTGTGCCGGTTACATGTGTTAGTCATTATTGATCATTTGGCCGATAATTAAAGATGTGTCAAACAGATGCTAAGATAAATTCATAGATTGCGCCGTAGACTGTAACTGCCAGTGTAGACACAGATCGAGTCGAACTACGATAGTTTGGGTGTGCATGTCTTCGTTTTATTCAATAGCAGTCAATCTCTATGACGTTTTTGTAATGTATGCTAAAGAGCTGAGTTCAGTATTAAAGTGTCTAAATGATCGGAAACAACGCTTGTCTATATATAAGTGCTGGGGAATTCCCAGGGTTTTCCCCAGGAATGTTGAAGTCGTCCGAAAGTGTTATCGTCATTTCAAGAATATAGTCTCGTGAAAAACTTTGGACATCAAACTGTGTCAGTCATACACCTACGAACGTTAATTTCGCGGTCATGTTACTGACCTCTCCTTAAATGGAAAAGCCTTGTATTGTGTAAACTTCACATTTAAAAATTATAACAACCTGAACCTTAAAGTACATTTATTATCGTCATGCATCCATGTGGTGATACCACAAAATGACATTTGTTTGTACTTATTAATTCCTTATAATTTGGCAAAATGATTACAATTTCTAAGATGGAATTTGGCCTTTCACACTGTCACAATGTGTATATCATCAGCGACACCTCCTCCAAAATAAATGTTGTATTGGGGTGCTGTGATGTTTAGAAGCACTTAGTAATGTGCACGCCTTTTCAAGTCTTTATAATTTGTGCTTTTGTGTTTTATATAAACAGCGAATCGGATGACCAACATGTATTAATATGTTTGTATGTACTAAAGAGCAACGAGGGTGTGCGGATGAACACCACGTAACAAGGAGAAAGCTCAACGTTGATGCTAACAGTTTGTTACATTTGTGTTGGGTAATCTCTCCAGGAATAGCTGTTTGTACTTTGACACTATGATCACTTTATCCCATTATAAAGGAGAATTTCGAAGGAAGATGGCAAATAATTGTACAATAACATCTACACAACAGAAGTTGAAAGGTGGTCATAATACATGAAGTCACGTTTTGCTTTGAAATAAACATCCTAAATGAATTGTCGTTTGACCAATCGATATCATAGAGGAATTAAGTGCCCACTTAAAAGTCTTAAAGTGTCTGCAAGATTTCCAGGATAAAGATGAATATATCTGAAAATGTTCCCGCGATCATTTAAGAAATTGCCATTGAAATAATAACAAAATCAGCTGGACCTTCATGATAATAGCTTTTTAAGTTATTGTATGAGTGATGTATTTTTTTACATCTTTAACAAACAATATGAAGTCGGTGTAAGCTGCAGAATATTTATTCAATGTAATTGACATGTTTTTTACCAATCATCAGGTTTCCTCATGTACGTTCAACACAGTGCAAAAGTATGGCGCTCATTGTGCTCTACAAGCATGATTGCATTGACAGCATTTGAACTTTCATCATGGAAAGCATGCTTTTTATCAGGGTCTGATGCAAGTGCACCGATCGTCACATTTCTATTGGCTGTCTCGCCTAGTCCCTTCGTGTGGACGACGAAAACGTCAGATTTTGCCTGAAGGTAACCAAATGACTGATTAGAAACCGTAAAGTACTAATAACATTCGTGACAGATATTCGTGACAGTGTGAGATACATAATGCAATAGCTACAATAAACTTGGTAATCGTCGTGGTCGTCAGCTATATAGGCGTGTCATCCAGATGTCATTTGCCTAAAAGTAATAAATATACATTTTATTCAATAGCTCCATGCATAATCTCAAACAGTATGTGATCTTTGAAATTACCTCCAATAACACAAGTCTGTTTGAAATTATTTCCTTTTGTAAGTTTACATTTAAAATTGGGATAACCTGTGTGCAGTGTTATGTAATGTATACATAAACACATTTTAATTCAACTTACATCATACTGCAGGTCCACAATAACAATCATGGGCATATACCTTGGCTTGGGCACTGACCCATTTGTCTAGTCGTTGAATTAAATGGCCTGGCCGGGTCCGTGTGCGACATACGCTTGCAGTCGGAAAGCGCACGTTAAATATAAGTAAAGTAAAGTAAGTAATAATTTTCATATTTTAATGACTATAGCGTAAAACAGTATTTACATTACAGATTATGTTTATTCAACTTATATCATACTGCAGGTCCATAATAACAATCATGGGCATGTTCATGCTCACTGATAAAGTAATACCTTGGCTTGAGCACTGAACCATTTGTCTTGTCGTTGATATGCATGGAAAGAGCATTACTAAACTTTACTTTCAAATATCACTTTCATATTTTAATGACTACAGCGTAAAACAGTTGATTTCACCTCAACAGGACACATCTCCATTAATTAATTACCGTTAGGTCGGCAAAATTAATAGCTGTATTGCCACAACGTATTGCTAACGTTGATTCCTCCTTTCTGGTAAAATGTAGCAAACGATGAATACATAGCAATTCCTGTGCCCTCAATCTGTATAATACTGTATTTCCACGTTGGAATACAACCGCGGACATGTTCATATTTCAAACAAACTTCTGTTTGGTAGTATATAGGTGTGAACAATGGCGTGCGTGTGTGTGTGTGTGTGTGTGTTTGTACGTGTGTTTGTACGTGTGTGTGCAGTCGTTGAGATGCATGTAAAATACAATTATTTAGATTTCCTGTTACCAATAATTCAAAATCTTTTTCATGACAACATTGATTTCTATTATGTAAAACGCAGCGTGTGTACAACCCTTTGGAAAGTACAACTAACCCACATTACAAGAAACGGCAAGACATTTTTCATTATTTGCAATCTATATTTTGAATAGATGACAAATTGTAAGGTATTTTCTGTTCAACTCATTTGATGGTCTATAAACATTAACAGTATTTTTTATTAATTGGGTTGCATAATCTCAAACAGTATATATTCTTTGAAATTACCTATAATAACACATGTCTGTTTGAAATGATCACCTTTCGTAAGTTTACATATCAAATTGGGATAACTTGTGTGCAAGTGTTATGTTATGTATTCATGTAGTGTCTTTTAACACATTGTTTTATTCACACTGAATTTTAAGGCACTATTCGTATCTGTTTTGTCATTCTCTGTATGTGTAAATACAGGATGATCAAAGTACGAACTTACCTTATACAATCATAACGGAACTAATTGTATTACGTTAATGTTGAGTAGATGGCTAATCTCAACTTGAGCATGCCAGTTTGAAATGGTCTCCTATTCTCAGTTTACACAACAAGGACACTTTGGCGACACTTACGTGTTCTCTTTCGACAATTTCGGCCTTTGAATCCACGTCGACACTTACAACTCCAAGTCCATCTCACTCTCCGTCCCGTTCTCCCTCTCCATCTAAAAGTTTTGAGGGTTTTATGCAGCGTGCAAGTGGCTCCATTGTAGCAACGTCTTCTCCTACACGGACGTTTTTTGGTACCTTGTTTCGTTAAGACAATGGCAAACAGTATTTACATTACAGATTATGTTTATTCAACTTATATCATACTGCAGGTCCATAATAACAATCATAACGGAACTAATTGTATTTTTTATTAATTGGGTTGCATAATCTCAAACAGTATATATTCTTTAAAATTACCTATAATAACACATGTCTGTTTGAAATGATCACCTTTCGTAAGTTTACATATCAAATTGGGATAACTTGTGTGCAAGTGTTATGTTATGTATTCATGTAGTGTCTTTTAACACATTGTTTTATTCACACTGAATTTTAAGGCACTATTCGTATCTGTTTTGTCATTCTCTGTATGTGTAAATACAGGATGATCAAAGTACGAACTTACCTTATACAATCATAACGGAACTAATTGTATTACGTTAATGTTGAGTAGATGGCTAATCTCAACTTGAGCATGCCAGTTTGAAATGGTCTCCTATTCTCAGTTTACACAACAAGGACACTTTGGCGACACTTACGTGTTCTCTTTCGACAATTTCGGCCTTTGAATCCACGTCGACACTTACAACTCCAAGTCCATCTCACTCTCCGTCCCGTTCTCCCTCTCCATCTAAAAGTTTTGAGGGTTTTATGCAGCGTGCAAGTGGCTCCATTGTAGCAACGTCTTCTCCTACACGGACGTTTTTTGGTACCTTGTTTCGTTAAGACAATGGCAAACAGTATTTACATTACAGATTATGTTTATTCAACTTATATCATACTGCAGGTCCATAATAACAATCATAACGGAACTAATTGTATTTTTTATTAATTGGGTTGCATAATCTCAAACAGTATATATTCTTTAAAATTACCTATAATAACACATGTCTGTTTGAAATGATCACCTTTCGTAAGTTTACATATCAAATTGGGATAACTTGTGTGCAAGTGTTATGTTATGTATTCATGTAGTGTCTTTTAACACATTGTTTTATTCACACTGAATTTTAAGGCACTATTCGTATCTGTTTTGTCATTCTCTGTATGTGTAAATACAGGATGATCAAAGTACGAACTTACCTTATACAATCATAACGGAACTAATTGTATTACGTTAATGTTGAGTAGATGGCTAATCTCAACTTGAGCATGCCAGTTTGAAATGGTCCCCTATTCTCAGTTTACACAACAAGGACACTTTGGCGACACTTACGTGTTCTCTTTCGACAATTTCGGCCTTTGAATCCACGTCGACACTTACAACTCCAGGTCCATCTCACTCTCCGTCGCGTTCTCCCTCTCCATCTATAAATTTTGATGGTTTTATGCCGCGTGCAAGTGGCTCCATTGTAGCAACGTCTTCTCCTACACGGACTTTTTTTGGTACCTTGTTTCGCTAAGACAATGGCAAACAGTATTTACATTACAGATTATGTTTATTCAACTTATATCATACTGCAGGTCCATAATAACAATCATAACGGAACTAATTGTATTTTTTATTAATTGGGTTGCATAATCTCAAACAGTATATATTCTTTGAAATGATCACATTTCGTAAGTTTACATATCAAATTGGGATAACTTGTGTGCAAGTGTTATGTTATGTATTCATGTAGTGTCTTTTAACACATTGTTTTATTCACACTGAATTTTAAGGCACTATTCGTATCTGTTTTGTCATTCTCTGTATGTGTAAATACAGGATGATCAAAGTACGAACTTACCTTATACAATCATAACGGAACTAATTGTATTACGTTAATGTTGAGTAGATGGCTAATCTCAACTTGAGCATGCCAGTTTGAAATGGTCCCCTATTCTCAGTTTACACAACAAGGACACTTTGGCGACACTTACGTGTTCTCTTTCGACAATTTCGGCCTTTGAATCCACGTCGACACTTACAACTCCAGGTCCATCTCACTCTCCATCCCGTTCTCCCTCTCCTTTTAAACTTTTTGATGATTCTACGCCGCGTGCAAGTGCCTCCATTGTAGCAACGTCTTCTCCTACACGGACGTTTTTTGGTACCTTGTTTCGTTAAGACAATGGCAAACAGTATTTAAATTACAGATTATGTTTATTCAACTTATATCATACTGCAGGTCCATAATAACAATCATAACGGAACTAATTGTATTTTTTATTAATTGGGTTGCATAATCTCAAACAGTATATATTCTTTAAAATTACCTATAATAACACATATCTGTTTGAAATGATCACCTTTCGTAAGTTTACATTTAAAATTGGGATAATCTCTGTGCAAGTGTTATGTAATGTATACATGTAGCGTCTTACGAACACATTATTTTATTCACACTGCATTGAGAGTATCGCACTATTCGTATCTGTTTTGTCAGTCTCTGTGTGTGTCATACATAATGATGAAAGTACGAACTTACCTTACACAACCATAACGGAACTAACTGTATATAACAGTGTTGACTGTATAGCTAATCTCAACTTGTACATGCCATATTGAAATGGTCACCTATTCTCCGTTTATAAAAACATGGACACGGACACTCACCTGCTTTCCTTCTAAACCTCCTGCCTCTGAATCCACGTCGACATAAACATTTCCATTTCGAGGGTCCAATCTGCTTGCAAGTGCATCCATTGCGGCAACGTCTTTTATGACACCGACCTTGGCGAAAACAAGAGCACAAGGTGCTTACTTTACAGATTGTGTTGAGTCAACTTATAACATACTGCAGGTCCATGATATCAGACACGGGCATGTTCTTGCTCACTGATAAATATCACCCTGGCTTGGGCACTGATGTCCTTGGCTAGCCGTTGAGATGCATGTAAAGAGCATTATTTAGATTTTCCTTCAATAATCATTTCAACATATTTTAATGACCACAGTGTAAAATAGTGGAGTCCATCTCCTTAGAAAACATCTCCATTTATTACCGTTAGGTTGGCATGTTCAACTTCTGTTTGGTAGTGTATTGGTGTGAGCACTGATGTGTGCGTGTGTGCGTGTGTGTGTGTGTGTGTGTGTGTGTGTGTGTGCGTGTGTGCGTGTGTGGTTGTTGAGAAGCATGTTAACTGATATTATTTTGATTTCCCATGACCAATCATTACACACCTTTTGATGATAATATTCATATCCATTATGGAAAAGGCAGCGTGTGTACATCACTTTGGAAAGTACAACTAACCCACATTACAAAGGACGGCAAGACATGTTTCCTTGTTTGCAATGTATATTTTAAATAGACGAAACATTGTAAGATATTTGTTGTTCAACTCATTTGATGGCCTACAAATATTAAATATATATACATTTTTTATGAATTGCGTTGCATTATCTCAAACAGTATATGACCTTTGAAATAACATCCAATAAAATATGACTGTTTGAAATGATTTCCTTTTGTAAGTTTACATTTAGAATTGGGATAACCTGTGTACAAGTGTTATCTAATGTATACATGAAGCGTCTTACGAACACATTATTTTATTCACACTGCATTGATAGTATGGCGCTATTCGTATCTGTTTTGTCAGTCTCTGTGTGTGTAATACATAATGATGAAAGTACGAACTTACCTTACACAACCATAACGGAACTAACTGTATATAACAGTGTTGACTGTATAGCTAATCTCAACTTGTACATGCCATATTGAAATGGTCACCTATTCTCCGTTTATAAAAAAACATGGACATGGACACTCACCTACACCTACTTTCCTTCTACACCTCCTGCCTCTGAATCCACGTCGACATAAACATTTCCATTTCGAGGGTCCAATCTGCTTGCAAGTGCCTCCATTGCGGCAACGTCTTTTATGACACCGCCCTGGCGAAAACAAGAGCAAAAGGTGCTTACTTTACAGATTATGTTGAGTCAACTTATAACATACTGCAGGTCCATAATATCAGTCACGGGCATGTTCTTGCATACTGATAAATATCACCTTGGCTTGGGCACTGACGTCTTTGTCTAGCCGTTGAGATGCATGTAAAGAGCATTATTTAGATTTTCCTTTAATAATAATTTCAACATATTTTAATGACCGCAGTGTAAAATAGTGGATTCCATCTCCTTAGAAAACATCTCCATTTATTACCGTTAGGTTGGCATGTTCAACTTCTGTTTGGTAGTGTATTGGTGTGAACACTGACGCGTGCGTGCGTGCGTGCATGCGTGCGTGCGTGCGTGCGTGACCTTTGAAATTACATCCAATAAAACATGTCTGTTTGAAATGATTTCCTTTGTAAGTTTACATTTAAAATTGGGATAATCTCTGTGCAAGTTTTATGTAATGTATACATGTAGCGTCTTACGAATACATTATTTTATTCACACTGCATTGATAGTATGGCACTATTCGTATCTGTTTTGTCAGTCTCTCTGTGTGTAATACATAATGATGAAAGTACGAACTTACCTTACACAACCATAACGGAACTAACTGTATATAGCAGTGTTGACTGTATAGCTAATCTCAACTTGTACATATCATTTTGAAATGGTCACCTATTCTCCGTTTATAAAAACATGGACACGGACACTCACCTACACCTACTTTCCTTCTACACTTGGGTGGCTGGTTACATGATGTTTTTGTATGTCCATAGAGCATACAGTTTGTGCATTGGGTTGGCCTTTTCCTGTATGGCATAGTTTCTATGTCCTTACCACCTAGATTAAGGTGGCTGGGGACTGACTGACCAAGTAATGTGAGTAATGTGAGTATTACTACTCGTGTGTTGTTTGTGCCCATTGATTTGATCCTGAATGCCGTCAGGATTGTAGGTTGGGTGACTTTCTTTTGGGCTTGACAGGCAATTTGATAAAGCTCGTCGTCATTAATTTTTTTGGCTAGATGTACCGCACATCTGACATTGCTAAGCCACTTTGGGGTATCCCATTTTAGTTTGATCCCGTTTATGCTTTTGGGCATATCAATTGACTCTGTGAGGTTGTCCCCGACAACAACATACCCTCTTACACACTTATTTATTCGAATAATATTTTTGTGCTTCAGCTCTTTGGCAATATCCTGAGCTGTTAGGATCTTATTAAGATCTTGTGAGAAGTCTGCGCTAAAGACTACTTTTTCCCATTTAGTTTGTGGTCTTCTATTTTGTTGTGTATTTCATTCTGATGAGGCCATTCTTTGTCTTTTCTATACAATTTTAGCCTTGGGTGGGCTAGATTGGGGCTGTTTGCGTTACAGCATGCCTTGAGCCCATAGGGCACTTTAATCGATATTTTCTTTGTTTTTAGTTCCTGAGAACGTGAATCTGTCCTGAAAACGGTCAGGGACATTAAGCGCGGCTTGACTATAAGTCAAGTTGGCTGTGTTTTTGGCAGTTTTTCTGGTGACCAGAGTGAAGGGATTCCCTTCATTTGGGTTTGGCTGACCCTTTCGAGAACTGGGCTGGTTCTCTTGAGAGTTGGGCGAACTCTCAACAATTGTAATTTCTGGACATAAGTCCGCCATCTCTATTTCCATGTTCATATTTGTCAGTCCCAGGGGCCTGGGTGATTGACAACCGTGCAGTTTAAGCTGGTGTGCGAACCGAGCTTAGTAGGCGCGGAGGGTTGTGTACAGCACGGGACCTGTGACAGTAATATAATACGGTACTTATAGTACATGTGAGATTATACACAAGCTATGGAGAAGTTGAATCTGTATAACGTGTTCTTATTCTACCTAACAATGTATTTAAGGAAAATAATGCAAAACAAACGCAACTGGTATAAGGTTTTGATTTATCTCCACTGAGTTTCCTAAATTCTATATAATTGAAAAAAGTCTTTGCTAATAACACACACGCAACCCGACACAGATAAAACGCAACTTTCAAACACAATCATAATCTGGTTAATCTGTCACTTAACGAGTTGGAGTAGCTTACTCTTCATAATCTGGTTAATCTGTCACTTAACGAGTTGGAGTAGCTTACTCTTCATAATCTGATTAATCTGTATCACTTAACGAGTTGGATTAGCTTACTCTTCATAATCTGGTTAATTTGTATCACTTAACGAGTTGGAGTAGCTTACTCTTCATAATCTGGTTAATCTGTATCACTTAACGAGTTGGATTAGCTTACTCTTCATAATCTGGTTAATTTGTATCACTTAACGAGTTGGAGTAGCTTACTCTTCATAATCTGGTTAATCTGTATCACTTAACGAGTTGGAGTAGATTACTCTTCATAATCTGGTTAATCTGTATCACTTAACGAGTTAGAGTAGATTACTCTTCATAATCTGGTTAATCTGTATCACTTAACGAGTTGGAGTAGCTTACTCTGCCCACAGTATGGAGCAGCTCAGTAATTATTGGGTAAGACCAGGCAGGCACACTGGTCACATTTGACTGGTCTGTCTCATGATTGGGTCGTCTGACAAATTGGACGTGAAATTGGGGGTGAACCCTATTTGCCCTTTTGCTTAGTTTTAAAATATTGTTAACGATGTTTAAATTTGAATACACGAAAGAGGTGAAATGAAACAAATGTCCCATTGGGGATAACACTTACTTAGTAGGGTATAGATTCTTGTACTTCTTTGGGTTGATCTGTACTTTATAAAGAATGTGCAATCCCAAAATTGACAATTGTTACATTTGACCGTTTTCGAAATGGCATTGTGTACTTCGTCAACAGACTGACGTATGTCCCACACAGTAATCTTATTTGATAAAAACAGCAAGTAAGATAACAAGAAGATCATCTGAATGTTACATTCCTTAAATCACATCTCACATATCACATCCCCCATCAAGTCAGCTCTATCTTTCAAGCATTATTTAATTTTGAATGAAAGACATTAAAATGTAATTGGATTAATAATCATACAAAGCAAACCTACGTGTATTTTGCCAAATTCAAAATATTATACACCCGTATTTTGTTCCAATGGACATGGACCATTCAACTCGTTCGCGAAGGTCGAAGGTCGTATACGACTTTAAAGTGAATACATTTTTATGGTGTACATATATATATATATTCTCGTTCAATCTATTGTACTAATAACATTTGAAGTCATTGTAAAGTTTCCAGGTATACTCTAATGGTGTGGTATTATGAATGCAATTTGAATATGTATAGTTAAAAGCATATATACTCACACGCAAAAGAAACGCAAGTCGAGTATGCAGTATACATGGGATTTATTTTTAACAGTAAAGACAAGAAATACTATTAGGGCAAGATTGACAAAAAATTGACTGAAGTCATTTAATGGATTCAAATGCAGATGACATAATTTTCTTTTTCAAATGTTAAGGGCTTACACAGTTTCGGGTCAATACCCAAAATGTCAGTCAATACCTGGTGTGACCACCATCAGCATTGATCACTGCCACACATCTCCTGTACATTGAGTGGATCAGACGATTTGTGAAGGCCCTAGGGATCCTCCTGCACACATCCAGAGCAGCTGTGCGTAGCCCATCGGCAGTTGTAGGGACTGGGCGCACATTGTGCAGACGCCTTTCAACCTCATCCCACAAGTGTTCGATGGGGTTCAGATCAGGGCTGAGGGCAGGCCACGGTAGAACACGGGTGTTGTGTTGTTGCAGAAAGGCCATGGTAGCTCTGGCAACATGGTGACGAACGTTGTCCAGCTGGAAAATCTGTTGTTGATGTTGGGCAAGAAATGGAACAACGTGGGATCTGATCACTTGGTCGATACACCGCTGAGCAGTGACGCCATGTCCCAGACCTTGACCAACATTCAGAAAGCACATGGGTCCAAGTCTCGCAGTAAGTCCCATCCCTTCCCATATCATGACGCTAGGTGCACCCCATGGATCCCTTTCCACAACGTTTCTGTCAGCGAAATCTGACTCTTCCGTCTGCATGGGAGACACAAAAGCGACGTTCACCAGAGAAGATGACACGCCTACACTCACGATGACGCCAATTGTAATGACCCTGTGCCCACTGAAGTCGTGCTTGTCGATGCCGTGTTTGGAGAACAGGACGACGTGCTGATCGACGACATCTGAGGTTGTTGGAACGGAGACGTCGGATCACAGTGTCCCGGCTAATGTGTCGATTAAGTGTTCCTATGGTCTGTCGAGCACTTTCACTTGCAGTTAGAAACGGATGTCGTTGGTGTTGACGGGTAATCTGCCGATCTTGTCGAAGTGTGGTGACCCTAGGACGAGCGCTCCGAGGAAGGCCATCTGTGGTCCGTGTAGCATTGTATCGATAGAGGAGACGGTAAATTGTGGTTATGTTAACGTTGAAATGACGGGCAACATCTTGGCCAGACTCTCCAGCTTCCAAACGTCCGATAGCCTGGTTTCTCTGAATTTGAGCTAGGCGTGGCATTGTTGACCAAGGAGTGGTAGGTCCAAGAATCGGCCTAAGTTTTATACCCACTACAGTTCGTGACAGTTCGTGCATTTTCGATTTCGCGTGAAATGGGTGCATGGTGCGTTTTGGCGATTCGTTTTGATGCTGCGTTTTTACTCAGGGCTTCCAAAATGCAGCCAAAAATATTGATAAAACCATCAGGCTTCACTACATGCTAAAGCTCGTATCAATTTATGGTTCCGTGTTTGTAACCTTTTGCTTGTGAGTATAGGTTGTACACGTATAACTTGACTTCCAACACCACGCCAGTGCCGCCGGCGGCGTCCACTAATGCCTGCATCCACTAATGCCTACAGTCTACAATAAACAAAGTCATGCACCAGTGTTTTTCAGCGACACCTGCTATCAGTGCTTCCCAACCTCTAACTGGACAAGTCCACTTTAGTGGAATAATGCCTATAGGCGACAAAAGACAGAAAATTGTATGAAGTCACTTTTTATTTCACATTGCCATGACACTAACAGTAATGATTTATGATTTCTGCACCGACGCCCGAGGATCATAAAACTAATTGGTCCCATAAAACGGGCAATTAGTTTCGCAGATACTCCGCAGTAGCTACGCAGACATTTCACAAACATTCTGTCCCCGCTTATCTACGCAAAAGTTTTACAAAAATTCTGCGTAGTCCCCGCGTAGCTACGCAAACGTTTTGCAACGATTCTGCGGAAAGTTTGCGAAATAAAGTGAAAGACTTGCGTTGTAGTGTGCATGTATTTGGAGGGAATTGTTCGTGGGAAACAATACACGGCTGGAACAATAGAGTGACGTTATAACAATTATGTCAGTATAGTGAAGCAACTGAAATGAAATAGAGGTCTTGAATATTAACAAATATCGACAAATATGTATTTGTTAACGAGTTAACCTTGTTTTCTAAATACCATTCTGAACCATCCATTATACGAAATACACCGTTTTGTTGTTCTTGCTATTGCAAGTGTGATATGCTACTATTGTTTGAATGTACCTAAATGTTACCGCGTTAAAGGGTGCTGACATATGTTACCTTGTCCAACGTATTTGAATTCATCTTCACACGCAGGATTTTATGTATAAATATTCATATATTTCAATGTTACAATGTTGTAGAGAACTTGTATAAGAAACAAATTCTCCAGAAAAAATAATTAAGCATTAAAAAACCTGACGCACAGTTATGATGTTCAATCCGTAATCTCTAGGTTTGGAGGACTAAACATCCATGGGTATTGCACTGCACCTCCAATCTATTTAATCTTACCCGACTGCAGTGAGACATTCTGCACATCAGGGAAGAGAAAACCAAATGAG